CGAATATGCACTCTAAGAAACAAGTTGTATACTAAACTTATCAGGGAAAAGATCTAGCTAATGAATAGCTTCTTTTTTTGTTTTTTAGAGTTTTATTATTATTATTATTATTTGGATAATTCAGTGGGGATGACATGCCCTTACCGGTTTTTTGAAATCCTTAGTTATTTTTTAATGCATGATTTGAGAAAGGAAGCTTAAACTTTAGTTAAGGCACAAGTGATGCTACCACCACGACTCCAATCCCATTCTCAAAGAATTGGTATCTAGCATGTACATGATACCTTCCGAAATTTGGGATCTTTAAAATGCCCACGGCTTGGTTTTTGCCCGAGGTAATAATTGACCAATTCAATCCCACAGGAGTACAAATTTATTTTACTTAGGATAATTGAAAACATATTCATGTAACCAAAATACAAGAGATATTTAATGGACCCGGTTTCTATGCGGCCAAGCCCGCATATGTAGAATTGTGGGCTTCTTAATAAATCTATTTTTGAGATGGATTTTAAGACTTAATTTTTATGGACATGTAATCTCTACCATGGAAATCATGAATATGAAAAAATAAATAAATTTAAAAAACTAAAAATAATAATTCTAGTAAAACAATATTTGAACCGTTGGTTTTCATTGTTTTTAGACGGAACACCTATTTGCATCCATCTTTAAGAGGGATGCCACATATGTAGAAATACAGTTCAGCCCGCATGAAAAAAAATTCATATTTAATTGCATGCCGTATATGCACCACTTTAAGTCCTATAGTTCGAGACTGAGATGGCCATTCCAATTCAGGGGCCATTTCACCTCAAACAAATCTAGTTCGACTCAAAACAATATTGATTTCAAAATTAACTACTAATTTGGTCACTTATAGAGCTGAGTACATAATTGAAAACATTAGTGACTCTATTAACTCTATCAGCGATTAAAGTACTTATAATTTTGAATTTATTTATATATTAATTGAAATATTGCTCAATTATAATTTTAGTTATAATAATATATTAAAATTTGTTTCGATTTATTAATGAAATTTTAAAATATGAGTTTCTAACATTATGCTCATAAAATAAAATGAATGTGAAACTCAAGTAAATTGGTATTTTTTTTTTTTTTTTTTTTTTTGAACGGTTGAATTGGATATGTTGTTTTACGCTCCAATTCAACTTTTTTTTTTTTTAATAAGGTATTATGTTTTAGAAACTTTGAAATTAGTGGGATACCTTATTAAATCCATAGTGAACTATCTTGTCATTGCATTTAAGCCAGGAAAAAGTTTATAGAGCCAAGGCTATAAACAATTAAATTAGAGCCCACCTCAAAATTTTCATTAGAAAAGGTTGTTATGATGCTCAAATATGTTCAAATTGATCATCTCGACATCAAGATACATAGACATGAGAAAAAAAATGGTTTCAAAATTTGAAAATAATGCATATAACGTATTTTTGGACCGTCAATTTTCAAGATTTTCAAGATTTCATAGATTTGCTCGATTTACACTATTTTTTAAGCTTTAAATTTTATAATTAAAGATGCAAATATATTTTAAGGCTATCACAAAGATTTTCAACTTTGAAGCCCCATTTCTCGATACTATTTGAAGGTGTGCTTTACTTTGATTATTTAGAGCCTCGGCTCTATACAAACCGCACCCTTTAAGATATGGAAAAAGTTTATATAAGGATGAAACCTTATAACGTAGAACTACGGATTCAACTCAAAAATCCATCGGAAAAGGTAGTTTTAATGTTGAAAAACCCTTTGATTGATCATCTTGACAACGAGATGTATGGCCATGAAAAATAAAAAGATTTTAAGTCTCAAAATAGTGCATTTTACAACATATGATCTACACCATCCATTTTCAAGATTTTCATATGTTTATAGATCTACCTGATTTTAACTATTTTTGAAATTTAAAATTTTATAATTAGATATAAAAATAGATTTTGAGATAATCCTAAGAACATTTTACATCAAAATTATATACCATGATTAAATTTGATAGTGCACAATACCTCTACAACTACTGATGCATCTGAATGCCAACTGCACCCTTAAGATATTGGTTGTTTTTTAAAACGTCAAAAATAATTGTAGAACAGGCTTCTATTAAAGGCTCCCATTAACCCCTTTGTTTGGAAATTACATGCTCCTTTTGCTCCATCGTTACCACTTGGTGTTTTTCGGATAAAAAGTTTGGGATCCAGGATCCACTAAAGTAATATGTTTAAAAGTAAAAATAAAATTTTGATTAATTTTACACCTCCTAAACAAAATATTATCAAAGGGAGTATCTACCCAAGGGATCATACTGTTTTTTTACACATATTTGTCATTTGTTTTAGAATATTATAACACAATATGTTTAACAAAGAGTATTCATAAGGCAGAGGCCCCATTGTTCGGGGTGTTGCAATGAATCCAGTGGATCATTCTCATGGAGGAGGTGAGGGCGCACGAAAGGAGGAAGACCTTCGGTGTCACCTTGAGGTAGTGGGGAAATGCAGAAATTACCAACCCATTAGTGCTACACATATAATAGATTATTATAAAATTCTCCCATTTTTTCTATTTTGCCTTCAGAACCTTTTTTTTTTTTTTTGCCAATTCACTTTCATGATCCGAAGTCCCAACTTTTCAGTCCTTGAAAGTTCGAAGCGTTTTCAATTATGATGTTTAACGTTCCAAGTTTGGTGAACACTAAAAATCCTAAGTGAGAGCATTTTGAAAAAGATAAAAAAAATAAAGGGTATGATTTGTATAAAGTTGCAATCTTAAATAATCAAATTAAGGCACACTTCCAAATTCCATCTTAAATATAATTTTGGTGTAAAAAACCTTAAGATGGTTTGAGAATCTATTTTCATATCTAATTATAAAAAAAAAGTATACAATGAGACTATTTATCTTTGGTAGAAGGTGGTCACAGTTAATCTTGACCATTGTGAAATTAGATGACTACATTTATAATATTGACCAAGCTCAAACTTCAAAAGAAATCCTCTCGAACTTTGTGACACACACACAAGCAATCAAATTTCAAATTTTGTATCGAATGGTTGTACTTGATCACCTCCAATAAAAAGTAAAAGGTTCGGTTTGTATAGAGCCTACGCTCTTAACAATCAAATTAGAGCCTACCTTCAAATAGTATCGAGAAACATGGTTTTAATATTGAAAATCTTTGTGAGAGCCTTAAAATATATTTTAATATTTATTTATAAAGTTTAAAGCTTTAAAAATAATATAGATTGACAGATCTATAAAAATTTGAAAATCTTGAAAATTGACGGGCCAAAAATGTGTTACAAAATACAGTATTTCCAAAACTTTAAATCCATTTTTTTCTCATGTCCATACATATCGATGTTGAGATGTTCGATTTAAAGATATTTGGACGTCAAAACAACCTCTTCTAGTGAAATTTTTTATGTAGGCTCAAATTTGATTGTTTAGAGCCTCGACTCTATATAAGCTTTTCCCAAAAGTAAATGGTCTCATTCTATACAATCCCAATTATAAAATCTTAAACTCCAAAAATGGTTCAAATGAAGTAGATCTATAAATACTTGAAAATCTTAAAAATGGTCAGTCAAGATAATGTGTTGCAATATACCCAATTTTTAAGCTTGAAATCTTTTTTCAATTTTATATTCATACATTTCGATGTTAAGATGATCAATTAGACATTCTTCCAACATCAAAACAACCTTTTATAATGAATTTTTGATGTGCACCTTAATTCTTTAAGGTTGTCAGAACCTTATATAAACTTTTTCAAATTTTTTCAAAAAATAAGAGAAATATAAATCTAAGATACAAAAAGTTAGAAAGATTTCCAATCTAAAACATT